AAAGCTGTTGTTTCCAAGGCTATTTTTTAAATGTATGGATTAAAGATAATCATTGAATAAGTAATAGAAAGAGCACCGAAACACGAGGCTATCTGATTTGTACGAGGGGGCGTAGCCCCCGAGTATTAATCAGATTGCCGAGTGTTTTGGTGTTCTTTCTCTTTTGTATCATAGTCAAACATAAAAGCACGTTCCCTGTTGTCACAATATGAAACCCCGGCAAAAATGAACCAATGAACGAACATCTGAATATGACATTTCTGTCGCTTTCCCTTTCTCTGCCGTCACAATATGTAAACCCCAGCAAAAATGAGCCAATCAATGGGCATGCTCTGGAGTGCGGGTAACTAATACCCGCACTCCAGTTAACGCACTGTGCATGTATATGTATACGATTTAACCCTGACACATTTTCAACAGAAAGGTCTCCAAACTATGATACAATTGTATATTGTTTAAGCTGCGCTCCAATAATTAACATTAATGCAAATACATATCTAAACAACGAGTAAAACCGGTACTATATTTGTCTAAATTACGTCTATATTACAGTTTTGCTAATACCTTAGTATATCTTAGTATGTAAAAAGAAAATTCAATCACTGATGGGATGGAGTATTAAATTTGGAATGTAAAAGTGTCATGCTTATTGTTAGGATATGTTTAAATAAAGTCTTCTTAACATCAACATCTGTCGAGTCAACTAAACTGTTTTCAATGAATCAATCTTTATAATGTAAATTAAACAAACTGAACAGATCACAATAGTACGATTTATTTACTTAGGAAAATAAGAAAACAAATAGCCTTAATCAAACGCCCAAACACACAAAATTGAAAACGTTACAGGTTCGCTTTTATTGCGCCTGTTCCATACGAAATACTAAAATCGAACATTTTTACTTTTGCCAGTAGTATACATATTCATTGCATTGAAGTTCAGAAAAATAGGTATCTGTCTATTCAGCAGACATGAACTAGCATCAATACGAACCTTTGAAAGTCATTCATCTTCCATATATTAGAATAATTGCTGTGATGTTTAATGCTAGACAAATTTGTTGACCAAACGTTAAACAAACGATGCATGTTTGCCTTTTTTTTTTATAAAACTCGTTCAAATGTGTTCGTTCTATAGTTTATTTACTTATTTCATCAAGTAAATTGAAATATCACATATTTTTGATTTTGACTACAGTTATTTAATTGACTGATCGCAAAAAATAAGCTCTTTCTTAGCAGACTCATGATCTTTATTTAAACTTATTTCAAACAGATGTAAGAGAAAGTATTTCCCATCTTTACTTTTCACAAGAACTCGAATGATCTAATGTGTGTGCCATACCGATTATTTGCTGTCTTTTCAATTAAATACATTTTATATTGTAAAAAGAACAATAGAAATACAACAATCGATTCTTAAACTAGGCTATGTATGATTCGCATCTCATTTTGTCTTTCCTTTCCCTTAATCCTGCCTTTTATCACACACAATCCCGTCACAAGCTCTGCTATCTGTTCTATAATTGGCAGTAGAAAACAACCCTTGAAACAGAATCTATGGCGTGAAGTATCAAATTGAGATGGAATTGCATGTTGTTCCGCCACATTTCAGCACTAACAATCAAGTCGTCTTTCAAAGCGCGACTGATTACTTTGTATATAAAAGAAATTCATCATTGTTATTATATTGGTCTTTTCTTGCTTTAGTACTTACAGGTACATATATACATGTTTAAAACTTTTTTTGGCAAACTGATACATATTTATAATTGTTTAATATTGTATAAAAAAACAATAGAACTATTGCGCGAATAAAGTTTTATAAAAATATATTAACAAATGTTGAAGAAATATAGGTTTTGAATTACCTTAGTGAAAGGAATACCAATAACTATCTTGAGCTTAAAATTACTATGGCAAACATTACTGAATTGATGAGAACACTGAATGGATAAAAAAGTTTTATATTAATGTGCAGACAGAATCATCATCACTCTATGATCAAATATGTTCTGTAGCAACATGTCGTATTACTCGCAGCGGAGGAAAATTGCGTAGGAGTTCGATTTTACAATCTTGATTATGAGTTCTTTCCTTTAAGAGCAAAGAAAGAGAGACATCAAGGTTACATGTTTGTAAACACCAGTTCTGAGATTTTTTCTGATATGTATGCCACTTGCTAGTGAACTTGGAAATTCAATATTATAGTATTTTATTCATTCTATTTCTGTCCCGATGAAGTTTCAACACATATCATTCTTAATATAGTTTTATGGACTTGCAGGTGCGATACTTTAAAACTTCAATAGGCGTATCAGAATCGAAAAGTTTCATAGATATAAATATAAAGATAATTGTTAATGTCACTATTCATAAGGTTTTGATTCCGCATGGGAGACGGTTATAACGTAAAATCTTGCTTACTGACTCTATATGTAGAAAATAGACTTTAATAAAACAATACGTAATAGAGTATTATTCTATTCCTCTTAACATTTAATGAAATGAGTCTGTGATGGTCACATTTTTGTCAATACTGTCTATGAAAGTAACCAATTTCTATAATAATTTATATTATTGATTAAAGCCCATGCATATGATTGCAATAAGTGTAAATTGTTCTGTTTGTACCTTCATAACTCAGAAAAAATTAGCCTACATTTAGCCTACAAACAATTAAAATCGGTCATGAGTTAAAGAAACATTTGCTATATACTCAAGTAATTGAAATATACAACGTGAGAGCTGGTAGAACGGATCTTATAAGCAACAAACGTTAAATTACTACGGTCATTGATCCCAATCTAAGCAAACGTTAATCGCTTTCTTTATTAACGATGGATGTTCCATTTTCTCATTATTAAATGTTACCTTGACATTGCCGATTGTCTGCTCTATGAAAATTACAGCACGAAAGCGAAAACATGTGATGCACAAACGCATTAAATTGACACATTTGCAATAGTCTTGTAATAAAATATTGTTGTGAAATTAAAGAACAATTAAGACAAAGGACAACAAACTTGTAAATTATCTTTTACATACATCATTTCAGGCTATTAGTTTGACGCATTAATGCAATTAGGTGCAACACATTGACAACATGTGTCATATTAATTGTTTTGCGACGTTTTATGAACGTATTTGCAATGGAATTAATAGAACAAAGATTTCTCTGATGATTTAAGAGCAAATAAATAATGATTATTCTAAGACAATTTAGATCTGTCTTTTCTTATTGCTTTTCGTGACGAGAAGTTCCATTTAACCTAATTTGTTGCAATAATAGCTGAAGAAAACACATCAAACGCAAAATACATTAATCAAACCGTATAAATATCTAGATTCGGTCATTTAGATACACAAACAAACGATAGCTTCAAACCATGACAGCTTTTCAAAATTAAACGTTAACATATTATGACTTAAAATACTTTACAAACAGTGAGTCGGACTTATCATGACCTTTTTTGATGCCTTTTTGTATTTACAAATACATTAATGTTTGTTTACAATCAAGTCTATTTAGGCTAAAACATTTGGAAAGTTCCACATGTGGTAAATGTCCAATTATATTCGAAAACACACAATAAAACCTCTTTGATTTCATTTTTGGTAATCATGATAGTAATGCTCTTAATTCAGAAATTTGCATTTTATTTATATTGCCAAACATCTAACATTCAGAATTTCCCTCATAACACTAAATAATGTTTTCAAATTTATTGCCTGACGGCATATCTTAAAATGTTTGACCAAACGTTAAGAAATAAACATGAGTGAGATAAACTAAAGAAAATAGTAATCCATAAAGAAAGTTCAAAACGGAAAAATTGAAATGTTGCCTGCTCGGTTTGATTGAGCCTGTTCATGCAACAGTATTGTCAAGTGCAAACTAACGTCCACGCCCCCAAGCACCGGCATAAGCAGAATTCAACATTTGAACATGAAAATGGTCAAATCTTGAATTAAGAAACATCCGTAAATGCCATATCAAGTGTATTGCAGCTTTGTCTACTGTCTGATTCCATCTTATCTTAAGAAGATAAACCTCTGGACAATTAAATAAGCTAATAATATATGACCAGCGGATGCGGATTTACAAGTCTGGAGCTCTGATAAATTGTACATTTGCGTTTCATTAAGTACACGAATTTCTTTGATGTTCAAGATTAACGAATCTTATAATTTTATAAAAGAAATATGTATTTGAATAAAGCGGAATCTTAAGGCAAAAGCATTCATACTTAGTTGTATAATATTAAACATATTGTTTGGTTATTTGTTCTTGTATAAAAGTATAAAAAGGAAATTTAATTTAAATATTCATTCTAAACCTTGCAAGCAATTAAGAATATATTTAATCAATAACGAAGACGCATGTAGTGCATGTGATATAAAATAAATCCTATTTGATCATCGCTTGATACACCGTCATTGTTTCAAACTGATTTTAACGCTGCTTTAAAATTGTTTTATCATTTGCAAAAGCTTGGAATTAAGGCTTTATATTGTTCCCAGGGTATATCAAAAGCAACATGAAAATAATAAAGTGCATTACTGTGTATTACACCAACATCTAAAACGATTAAATTTAGGAAAAAAAAACGATTAGTTACGTTGGTAGTTTCAATATCCCCAAGTATCCCTAAGTGGATAATAAATCGTTAAGTGTACTTATTGTATTATAAATAGACATAATACACTGGGGATTTCAACAGACATTGTTATTTCTGCAATATGCCTTTAAACAAATATAAGATATTGTACATTTTTACAATGCATCACATAATCTGTTTCCAGAGACCACGAGCTTATGATAAAGGTAAGTGTATGCTCCTAAGTTATAGAGAAACAAACAAGAGCACAGTTTTTCCTTCGAAGCAGATTGTTTGCATCAATGAACTCATTTTATAGAATATCCTGAAGCAAATTTGTAGTATGAAATAAACTGTCCTTAACTATCTGGACTAAACATGTATGTGACACTTTTTCAGGTTGGCACTTTGGTTGGTTTATGTGCAAAGCAACGCCATATCTACAGGGTGTATCCGTCTGTGCCTCAGTCAATACTCTTGCTGCTATTGCTGTAGATAGGTAACATTAAATAACTTTAATTACAATCATCATACTTTAACTCATAAAGAATAATCGTACGTAATTAACACATCTTTAGCCTTTAAACTTACTCAAAACAGTCATCAATGATACAAGATTGATATGTTAACATTACTTGATATTTTCTGTTTTATTATCATTCATTTAGTGTCATCGATAGCATCTATTTTTAGGACGATTTAATTTTACTGTTGCTTTTATTTTGAAATACTTTTGAACAACGCTTCTTTCGAACTTCTTTGAAAAATGCATCTTTGACGCCTACCTAAATAGATGATATAATATTGAATTCTCAACTCTGCATTTTACATATTTATATTTTGCAGATACCTCGCAATATGCCATTCAATGGAACTAAAAATCAGTAAAAAGGCTTGCAAAATAACTATATTTGTAATATGGATAGTTGCGTTTACAATCATGATTCCATGGGCTGTGTACTTTCAACTTGGAACATATAAAAACAAATATCAGGTTTTCCCAGTTTGTTATGAAAACTGGCCTAGTGAGGCGAACAAAAAATATTACTTTCTTGGAGCAATATTCCTATGCTGTTATTCGGTTCCATTGGTACTTATAGTAGCATGTTATCTACTTATTGGTGTCAGAGTTTGGCGGAGGCGAGCACCGGGAGAGAAGAATACTAGTTTAGAAGTAGTTCACAAGTCGAAGGTCAAAGTTGTGAAAATGCTAGCAATTGTTGTTGTTCTTTTTGCATTCTCTTGGCTACCTTTATACGTAATTCGATTGGCGACATTCTATGGAGCACCTCCGGACAAAGCTGTTGCAAAAATAGTTAACGAAATAATAAATCCCATTGCTCAATGGCTGGGATCTTCAAACAGTGGAATGAATCCTATAATTTACTGTTTCTTCAGTAAAAGGTATCGAAATGGCTTTAAAAACGCTATTATGTCCTGTTGCAGACGACACGATGACAGATTTGGAACTAGAACGCTAGCCAGTGCTATGGCAGCACATTCATATATGAATGGTAGTTCAAGGAAACTGAGAAAATCATACCCGTTTCAAATGGTTAGTTCCAGTAACAGTTTATCGGATACAAAAGTAACATCATATGTTTGAGAACTTTCTTTTTATTTATAATTTATGCTGCTGATCTTTTGATTATGTTAATTAACTACTTGTTTCATCTGTTTTTATCGTATTGTTTTGTTATTGTTTTATATTTATTTGCTGTATGATATATAGTTTCTTATAAATATATATATTGTGTATAAAGTGTTAATATTTGATCGCCTTCAAAATATAAGTCATACAAAATGCTAATAAAATTCATATTATATTTATTTATGCCCTTTACCAAAGTAGAAAAGAGAATTAAAACACTTTACTGGAAAATATCATTATATTTAGTTTTTTCTTAATATAATATTCTTAACGCATGCATAACTAAGAGGAAAAATACTTAAATATAATTAAATAAAAGTATACACATTTATTATTTTCACTGTTTTATTTAATATTGGGGTCATATGTTATGTATAGAATATGTAAATACTGTGTATTTAGAAAGAAGATTAAACTTATTTAATTGAGAAAGATATAGCATTTGATTGATACCTAGATAAGTTTGTTTAAAAACTACATCATGACAGAAATCAAGAAATAGGAAACTAGGATACAACATATTAGATGTCAAAGTTTTCTTTGTTATCGATATATAAAATCTTTAATTTTGAGAATCACTTTGCTTGACTATGTAGCACTGATTTTGAATTGATAAGTTTGTTATATAATAAGTATTCTTTTATTATTTAGATTATGTGATTTGTTTGATTTTTGTTTGCATTATTCCTTATACCTTAAAATTGCCAGTACATGATTTAACAAGCATGTTCAAGTTCATTTCTTACAACAATAAACACCCCTTTGACTAAAATTAACTGAATTTGTATTACGAAATTTTATGATGATAAAGTTAATGTTAAAATTGCGAATAATGCGTTAAAATATGTTTACCATTTCATAGAGTACATTTTCTTTTAGCTTGCCTTAGGGAAACAACAAGAGGAGAAATTGTCCGCGGAACCCTGCAATCCAAATTGCCAGTCAACATCCACTATGGACAAGACATCGTTTCTGCAGACAGAAGGATGAAAGTAGTTTGAAAAATTAATCTACAGATGAATTTTTTAATCGTACCTCGTTTATTGCTATTTTGCAATTTAACACAGTGTTTATGAATAGTTACTACCTAAATGATAAAAGGCGTGTTTTGAAGATATAAATTTATTTTTGTTTGTGTTTATACAAACAGCATTCAGCTTTAAAAACAATCCAGTACAATAATAATTTATTTAAATACATTTTGCCACTTCTTTGAATTCTTAATTACCAGGCTTTAAACTAGTTATTTGCTTCTAAATGATATCAAAATAATATATTCTTGTATCATAGTTTGGAGACTTTACTATTAAAAACGTGTCAGAGTTATATCGTGTACCAATGCATGCACAGTGCGTTAAATGGAGTGCAGGCATTAGTTACCTGAAACACTGTCTGTTTCATTGATTGGCTATTTTTGTCTTACTAGGTTTACTTATTTTGTCTACACAGAAAGAGATATCAAACAGATCCTCGTACATTTGTTACTTTTTCTTATATAGCCATTTACAAAGAACAAGATCAAACACAATAGTACATGCATGTACGCAATACTCGTACTGACTTAACACTGTAATTAAAGTTAGCAACAATTTATTTCATCTACGAATTAGCGTGCAACATACATTATGACAGATAAACAGATATCGATTCTACCTGATTTAAAAGTTGCTTTTTATAAAAAAAAAGAAAAGAAAAAAACAAACACGTTTATACTAGACTGGAATATTTTAAATAACACTCAACACAATAACCGGCGAAAAATATTACTATTGTCATTAATCTTATTATCATTTGTAAAACTATTATAAACATCGTCACATTTTTGTTAATGCACACGTTGTGGAATCAAAGTTACATGTTGATTTGGGTAAAGGAACTGCCAATTTCAGAAATATTTGAACCCAGTTCCTTTGAGTCATCAAAGCATAAAGGTGCTGTAACATCATTGTCTTTACCCTTTAAAACAATGTATACAATCATAGAAAGTATGCTGAACTGCAAATAAAATTACGAAAACCTGTTTTAATACGATTGTTTGATAATCAAGTTATAATTGATTTTATAAATGCCCATTAAGTAGGTTGTAAAAATTATTTAAAAATGAATTGTTGACATGTATACTCAGGAAGAAATTTAACTTCATTCCTGTTATTTTATATGCTTGTGTGTGTATATGATTATACATCTCTAAGTACTTTTATAATATACATTATGAAAACATAAACAAAATATGAAAGGCAATACTAAAACATCAAATAAATAAGTCAAATATGTTGAATCTGAAATGAGAAATGATAATCCTGTATTTGAATAATTCGAACCAGAATAATCTATAAACATAGATTGACAGCATTGACAGTATAATAATAATATAGATGAACCACCAACAACAAAATGTAACACAATAATAAATGCGAGATGCCAATTCCACGAAATTTCAACATTTTGCAGTTAACATAATGATGAAATATTCGCTAGTTTTGTCGTTGTTATATTCTGAGAGAATATAAAATTTGTAGACTTTGTTCCATTGTAATATTTTCTGTATTTTGATCAAATAAATTTTTATAATAATTTTTGTTTTGTTTACCATTCCCATATTTGTAAACCTTTCTAATGATACATAACTTAAATTTGTTGTTACAAGTTTACATTATTAAAACTACATACGTACATGTATAAAACTTTCAAATCTATCATGTAGTTTCTCAATGACATATTTATGAATATCATTGCGTATAATGTTGATTTTATATGGAATTCTGGACTAGAAAATTGAAAATGACGCCGCAAAGAGAGCAATATATATTTAATATGCTTTATCGACTCAGAAAACAAAACAGGCCTTGATGCAGTGCACTATGGATTTGATACAAACAAATTTATTTGGATTCAAGAATTGAGAACTAGGCCGTATTGTAAAGAATGGATCCAATAATTGATTATGTTGGAGAAATTAGTTGGTTACAACTTATAAAGTAAGAAACATAAGATAATGTGAAATGAGTTCAAGAAGTTGTTATAAAGCGAGTCTCTGATTGTGTTACAAAATATACATGTATATTAAGATTTTATGGTGTCGACATGGACAATGAAACATTCAGGCAATGTTGCACCTCCTAATTAATAAAATATGGAAAAAACAAGATCACCGAGGAAGGGCGGCGTTTAATGGACGCAAAAAATTGAGTTACTCAAATAAAATATGTTCCACTTAAACATCAATTAAATTTAATGATCAAAAATGTACAGTATTTACCACATTTAAAGCAGCTTCAATGAACTAGGCTAATTTCAAAATGTAATTCCGAGATAATTGACGCTCATATTATTTTTTAATTAAAGCAGTGAAAAGGAGTAGGAAGGATTTGTTTCAGAGAACACAAAATTTCTTGGTACCAGTCAATTAATTAAGATAAAGATTAGTAATTGATAAGAGATCAAATTACATTGAGAAAGCTTTAACAACATATTTTATTAACTTAATCAGTGTCATCAATGGCGTTGATATCTTACATCAAACCATGATTAGTGATACTAGTAATAAGGACGCATGCATGAACACGATCGATCATTTACGTTTGAAATAAAGAAGATATCCGGAATTTATTGTTGCAAAAACTGATGTCTCTCAAAACTTGATCAAGACATTCATTTAAATTAATAAATCATATAATTATATAATTAATATAATAATCTTTAAAGAGATTACTTTTGTTGAAAGAAACATATCACATATAGATGAAATAGGAAAATTTTCAAATAGTAAATTTTGAAATAAATTAGTTTATCACATACAGATAAAATAGGAAAATATGCAGAAAGCAAATTTTGAAATATAATTAAAATTATTTGAAATGGGTATTAAAGATGAAACGGACTTGTTTTCTTTTTTCCGAACAGCATGCGGTTAATATTAATTAATGTTCATGTTTTTTAAAACAGCTAGATTTTTTCCGTTTAAATTCAGCATTATTGAAAGTTGGAGTTCTAACGCAAACATATGTTTCTGAGCAGGAAAGTTAAATATTCTAGGTAGGGATAATAAACAAAGTTATCGATGCAGGAGACATATAAAAAAAAAATATAAACTGGGTCATCCGTTTCTTTCTACTTTTTATGGTGAGGAGCGGATTAACATAACCAAGGCTTCACTTCTTGGAAACAAAATGCTCACGGGCATTTTTATGACACACCAGGTGACTTCATCTTCATGAGATTGAAATTGTCATGTTCTAAGTTCATTTGGTATGAGAAACTTCACTAGGATGTTGGGGTCTCTTTAAAAAATCTTGCAAAAGTGATCGTTGCTTAAGGGATATCAAAGAACCTTACCGTCAAGCGGCTCCATCTAAGTTCCACAGTTATCAAGAAATGTATTATGTGTATAACACATTTTTACCTTATATTTCATACATGAGATGTCGGTGTCTTACCACTTAAAGCAATAGCTTTTGAAATATATATGGCCTTAACAATGTTCAAATTGGCCTGCAACTGGTTCAGGTATACAGAAACTGTTGTACAATACAAACATAAGTACAAAAAATACATAACAGTTATAATAAATTTACATGTTAACACTCAATAGCATAATTATTATCTGTCCAATAATAATGCAACTTAATAGTGCAAAATATGCTTGCATGTAATAAAGATATATGTACTATATATGGCTTTATAAGACCAATACACTTACTACTGATTGACATTTCTATAAACTTATAATTACTGACTGATAATTCGTTAAACAACAGAAAATATAATCTCTCCAGCTTTATAACATACAGCCAACATTTGAACCAGTAAACCTGTACATAGATAAAGCAGTAAGGAATCCCATTCATAAAATCTGATATGACCAAAATATGCTTTGTTAACAACAATTGAGAATGCTGAAGGGCTAAAAAATAACTTAAACCTTGTACTTTTAGACTGCGCGACCTCTTATTGGCGCGACCTCTCCATATTGGAACTAGCAATGCATGGGAAAGCTGATTCTGCGCAAACCTTTCCTATTGCGCGACCTGTTAAGTGTCGCGCGACCTTTTGTCTGCGCGACCTTTCCAAATTTGGAATGAAGGTATGCTCATAAATCTAAAAATAACTGAGCTGTGCAATGTTCCTGGACTTGTTAATGAGACTCAATTGTTTTTACAACAAAAAATGAGTAAAAGTTAACATAAACATTTTAACCAGCTTAGAAATGTTGTCCAGATATACCATCCTAAAAGAATACTCTTCTAGTAAAAGACTAGTTTTAAATTTCATAACACTATTTACCTTTTCTCACACAACCTTCATGGCGTCATCTTAGATATTTAACATTGAAGTACCTCGTATCACATTCCATTTATTGTTTCTTTCGCTTAAATTCGCATCGGATTACTTCTGAATTCCGTTTGAATAATTACCCACCTATCCCTGAAGGCAAAACTCTCAGTTAAAATTCATAGAAAGATTTTAAATGCTTGAACAAAAGAGACAGAATTGATGTCCCTCTTGTAAAACAAATGATTTCAATATCTGTTTAAGTCATCGTTTACTGCAGAACAATAATCAAATTGATTTTTGAACAAGAACTTTTCATCTAAAGATATATATTCAAACATCCACGGAGGAAAGAATGCTTTCATTTCTATTAATTAAATTATTTAAATTTTCAGTAAGTGCATAGCTTAATGTTAAGTCATGAATAAATAAATTCAGCGAAGGGCGACCAGTTGCAGATTGGAAAGGAATTAATTTTTCATTTTGCATTTCCAAGGCAAATAACGACATTCTTTACAGTGGATTTTATTGTATTATTATTTCTCCGCAAGAAATATTCTGGTTTATTTATCTCGAATCTTCGATTTAGAAATCGTGTAGAATAAGTAGTCAGTCATTTCCCGAGAAGTTGGTATTCCAGGGACACCGGCTTGGTTGATTGGAAGCTGAGATATGGCCAAAAAATTGTTTAAGTTTAAGATCCTGTATGTTGTAATTAAGGACGTAATGACACTTAAGAAACATTTTATTTATGTACAGTTCGTGTAGGCAACCAGAATCACCGTACGAAAAGCGGTATGTTAAAGTCCTTTAGGCACAGTATTCAAATGACATAATCTGAAAGCAACATACGTAATTTCTTTTTTTTAAACATCATATTATTGTGAAACCGCTTACACTTGTTTTCTTGAAAATCGTAACGTTAAATACTGATGCAGAAAAATAGAAACCAACATGAAAAACTTTTAATTGATTATTACACAACATTAGACAACCAATGTACAAACTACAGAGAATATCATTTGAAAATATTAAAGCCTTCTTTTAAAACAAAGATTATTTGAACAACTGGCCATTCAAGCACTCCTGGATCACTCATAACATATAATTCCCTACACACATGTGCGTAATGTTCAAAATATGATCAAGGAAGCATTAGGAAATAGCATTTTGTTTTAATTGTTGAATTAAAAAGAAATCTAAAGATGTGATTCGGACTACCTTTGATTCGGATTGCCTACACATGCTGTATATAATTTTCGTCTAAAACAATTTCCAAGCATCCAAGAATATGCTAGATTTATACTGCAAATGGTTATTTGCAGTATAATTATTCATTAAAATAGATGCATTCATTTCTTATCGAAACATTTGGCTGATGCTTTATCGAAAATAGATTTCTTATTACCTACTTTTATTTACATGAAATGTAAATTTGGTAATATCTTTGCAAATATTGCTTATTTGAACCTACAATATTGATAAATCTTTATTTGATTATCAGATTTGTTACAACACCATAGAGAAATTTGAGGTACAGGTTCTTTATAATTTGGCATAAAAACAATAAAATCAAGCAAACAAATTAACAAAATTGTTATTGCATTAATCAAACAGCTTATCCTCTTTAGTATTATATTTCACATATTGATGTTTAGATTTTAAACGTTAATTCAAAATTATATAGTAACAAGGATTTAAACTGGTACAACAGTTCACTATTTTTATGACATCATTTACCATGATTATACAACAATTGAAATGAACACATATTCAACATATCTACGAGAGGTGCCAAACTTATTTTTGAACAAAAACAAAACTAAAGCAATTCTTTAGAAATACTCATTTATTGTAGTAAATGTTCAATATGAGACCCATGACAGTTGTAGGTCATTCTACAACGCTTTGGCCACGATTATAGTTTCTTGATCAAGTTTGCGCCACGCGTCCTTTAGTGCTCTTTTGAGACCGACAAGCGTGTTTATTTGCCGCTTCTGCAGCCGACGTTTTAGAACACCCAAGATACCAAAGTCCATCGGTGCAGCATCAGGTGGTTTTGGCATCCACTCCTCGGAGGTAATAAAGTTAATTTGACGGTCTTTCAGAAATGACAGCGTTCTTTTAGATGTGTGGCTAGATGCACTGTCCTGGTGAAATGTCATTGCTTTTGCCCCCTCAGGAAAAAATCTTGGAACATCCTTCTCCAAAAATGGCTTGAGCACTTTGTTGATATAGTACTCAGAGTTC